TTACAATTTAGCTTTAACAATTGTATTTCCCTATTTATATATAGATGTGATAAACACAAACACTATCAAAACATATGAATAAACTAATTTTTAAGATTTCTATGTCCTCTATGAATCCAGAAATGGTATCTAGAACCTAAACTCCAATCATGAAATACTGCACTACTAGAATAAAGACATTGACAGAATGCAGTACTGAATGAAACAAACAAACAGACACAAAAAATAAAGAATATGACAATTATTCATCTTCATTAATCTTGAAGTACTATTTTACTTAACAATTCGTGAACAGCACATAAAACATTCGTGAATAGTTTTTGTGCGATAGTTTACAACAACATCTGTTCAACATTCTTTAAAAGGGAATAATGGCACTCTCAGTGAAGCTAAGCATCAAAAATAGCAATAATATTTATTTTATAATATAATATATTGTAATAATAATAATAATAATAATAATATTAACACATTAGTTAACTTTTATATTAAAAAATTCTAAAAGGCTAAATAAACCTGTAACAATTATTGTAAAGAGGAGTTATGCTAAGAAAAGACCAGTTTGAGAAGTCAGGAAACAATTGAAAGTCATGTAGGATGATGGTATTTCAAGATATAGTGATGAAATCATTACAGAATGAGATAATTGTAAATGAATGCATTGGCGAATTGAGGGCATAGACATTATCTACATTAATGTTGCTAGCAGTAGCTGTCATTGCAGTCTCTTATTATAAAAATCTCTCTCAACAATGCATTTTTCACAGTGAATCATATATTGAAATATCAAAAGTGTTTATTATTTATTATGATCAAAAATGTTTATACATAACTGTAGGATACATATTTTAAAATCTATATTAATAAATTCTTTTAATTAAAATGCAATATTCAGTTTTTGGCAAGATCGAAAGTATTTGTAATTTTATTTATATCTATTGCCTACAATAAATGGGAAATACTATTTCTTTTTGAGACTTAATTGGAGTGTTATGACTCATGATTTTAAGCATGAAGTTGTTTAATTTCTAAGTAAATAACATATAAACGCAAATATAATTGAAAGAGGATTTTGTAATAAAGAATATCCATAGAAACGCTGAACTTTATCCTGCGTATATCAATTATTAATGAATGTTATTAGCACAGCTAAATAAAATTATTGTTCACTTAATTATTATTAAATTTCTTCTTGAAATACAGACACACATAAATATTTTATAGTATAAATTCAAAGATATATAAAATAATTATTTTTTTTTATTTTTATTTTATCTGTTAATTGGTGGAGGGTGCTCCCTTTTGCTACCCCCCCTCCTGAATTCAACCTCTGATTTACGTAGCCATTGTGACTTTTTTAAAACTTGTTTTCCTCAGCATTCCATGTCTTCTCCACAAAAAATATTTTCCATACACCCTTTTCTAATTGGGCAAGAATTAGGATGGAGGTTCTGAGGGATGTTTTCTCTTGGAAGCTCTGTTTCCACCTTAAAATCTGTTTCGATAATTCTGTTTACATCTTGTTCTTTCTCTTTGTTCATAAAATTAGGTAGTAGTTCCAATTAATGAAATTAATATTTTGTATTTCTTTCAAAAATGTAATACATTTTCAAAAATATTATTGACTTATTAGTTTACTTTTACTTTTCATTACCTAATCTATTATACTGATTATTTTCTTTTTGCCTTTAATGGTGTGGGAAGATGAAGGGGATGTTTAAACATATTTAATTTGGCAAAAGCTATGAATTGAACACATTATTGAATTTACAACCGTATCACAGTTCTGTGCAGAGGAAAAGTTACTTATTGATATCCTCATGTTTCCGGGTGCAATAAATAGTATCATCATTACAAAGATTTTAATGAAATGTCATTTTTTTCCTTTTCATTTAAAAAAAATGCTGTTTAGTATATAAATTCATTTTACAACACAACAAAAGAAAATGATCCCTTTCTTTAACATCATATTTTTTTTATCAATTTTGACAAACAAGCCATTTTGTTTACCTTTTTTTGTCATTTTTAATGCACTTTTTGCTGATTTAATCGATTTTAATATCATTTAATTGTACTTGCTTCGAATAATATTTATGAGATGCCACAAACGTGAGACACAGAATTTGTTGGTAGCATATTTCATTTCTCAGAAGTTATAATGTCAGCCATCGTGAGTATGTAATCCAAGGTGCTTGAGATACTTGTCAGCGCTGTTGGCGGTTCACCGATTTTGAGATAATTAAATACACATTCTTTGGTAAAAAACAGTCCAAACCAAAAGTTTGAAGGCTGAGTTTACTTGAACGAATAGAAGAAGCCTCAATTATTACAATAGTAACATATCCAACAACTTGAGTTGTTCATCTGAACTGGTTTTGATCACATTTTTTACGTCATCTTCTTTGCTTTTAGGCCATTTTAAAAACATTTTATTGATCATTTTTGGCGATGTTTTAGGTGATCAAAATCCGCCCCCTAATTATTATTGCATTAAAAAGTACTCCAAATAAGTGTTGTGCGTTTTACATCCGGAGAGGTGGCCGTGATCCTTCGCCCGATGGAACATGCTATCTTGCGCAGACCTACACGTCAACTTGCACACCTTGTTTCAGCCTCAGAATCCTAGCGGGCGCAGAGGCAAGCTCCGAACGTCAATGTGTGAGTGATTGTGTGTGTGTGTGTGTGTGTGTGTGTGTGTGTGTGTGTGAGTGCGTGTAAAAGGATAGGGGGATGGGAAAGGAAAGATCGCGCGCGATGCTTGGCCCGTTTTTAAAGGTACTGCTCCAGCATTCGCCCGCTACTGTTCAGAGACACCAACTGAAAACTTTGGATTGGAGCAGCCGACCACTAGGATTCTCTAAACAGCGTACGAATTCGATCTATTTTTAATCTAATGTCGGAATCAGAAATGGGAAGGTGGCTGAGGGCATCAACTGATGTCACTGCAGTGCCTTTGACGTGGAGGTCCTGGGGTCCTTGAGTCCCGACGGTGACAAGATTTTCGACACCAGTTTGATAGCTAGATCGATTTCAGCCGCTGTCTGGAGGAGCAGCCAGCTGCTCTGATCGCAACCATTTTGTGGTTTCTTCAGTCAACACTGGGAGAATGCCAGAGTAGTACCCTAACAAACGAGCCACGAACCGTGATCGATCTTTCCTTCCTCTTCCTTGTTTTATCTTCACCCTTCACACACACTTACACCTACATGTGCTGCACTACCACACATGCCGGGATTCCAGTCGGGAGTTATAAGCTTGTTCCGGCTGTGGCGGTGCTCCGCTGGTGAGAGATACCTGGTTGTGGAAACCCATCCACTAAGCGGCGCCGGATCTCACCATCCAACGAGGCAAGATTACCGCCACCTCTCGAGCAAAGAACATGCACTACGCTTGCGGGAATAATGACCTTGATCGTTGACGCGCCCAGAATCACTAGTAATAAATCGAAAACCAGTTACCGTTGGCACATTGACCCTAGCATAGAGGAAATACCTTTTCTCTATGCCACGCGGCCAAGCATAGCCATTCCAACCGACAAGATTTCACTGAACTATTAATTCCTGAACAAGTTGCGGGTCGTAGTGCAGGTGCGGATCCAGGGGGAGGGAAATGAGGGAAATCCCCCTCTAAAATGTACAAGTAATTATTAATTTTAATTTGTCATGATACTTAAAAATATGTTCGTATAATCATTAAAACGAATGAAATCGTGTCGCAACATGAGCTGAATGTAACCTGCGACATTTTACAAAATCTGTAATGACACATTCGAGCAAAATATTTTGAATATGCCCTTCCAAAATTTGTCTCTGGATCCGCCCCTGAAGTGCGGTCGCTCGCGTCGCGAAATCAGCAGTTCATTGCTCTAGATAGTCGGGTATTCCTTCGCCCCGCAGATGGGTCGCCTCTCTCCCTCCAGGCGGTTGACCTGGGTCTCTTGCTTTAACCGCTTTATGAGTAGACGAGTTGATTCGCAAACGATTTACGTGCGTGGTAGCCTTCTGGGTGAGTTATTGCGCTCAGGCAGTTTGTCGCAGGGAGCCTCTGGATGAGATTGTACGCGAAATCACAATGTCCCGGGAGCTTCTGGGCGAGTACATTCGCGCAGACGTGCTGTCGGCTATCGCTACTGTGTTTAGTGATAGAGTTTACTGATAACTGCAATGTCTTGCGCGGTATCTATGTGCGGGCGAGTTCAACTCACAGCGGGGCCCGCGGCGAGAAGCATGATGCATTAGGCGAGACACTGTCGACTGGCCCGTAACAGTTGAAGAATTAAATTGAGGGGCCACTCAACTACAGTTCTGCCCCCCTCCCAATCTAATTTTCAGTTAATTTTCTTGAAAATGTGTTTCGGGGCGGTTGTAGGGGGGATCGACTCTGACTTGGCCGTTTTTTTCGAGAAATCTTCGAGATTTGTTTGTAGTTTCAGCTGGCCTTGGCTCATATTGGATTTTTGGCGTGTGTTTAGGAGTCTCTGAAGGGAATTGAGATTTGTGAACGATTGGCCATCTCTCAAGGATCAATTTAAAATATCTTTTTTTTAAAACATTTTTGTAGGTATACTATACAAGTTCTAAAATTCTTGTTTGAAATATGCAAATCGAAGTCTGTAAATATAAATCATTTGTATGAATCTTGACAATGATATATTTGCCCTTACTTGAAAAATGGGATATTTGTGGTTTGATTACTTCTGTTTCTGCAGTTATATGACACACACACACACACTGAATGAATTGTGAATATTATATTCTAATCACTAATATAATTCAAATTCAATACAACGTAAAGAATATAATAGGCGTACGACATATAATAGGTGATACAAACAAGAATCAGTTGAATATGCCGCCACAAGTATGTTTTGACCATTAATACAGAACACACGGCGATTCCTAGTCGGGTGAGTGTCCACCAAGAGCGCTGAAATCATAGGGTCTCCTATCTCCCATTCTCATTGATAAGGAAGAATTTATTCCGTGTTGATATGTTTAACCATGGTAAACCACGCGGTCAACATGGTGGACATGGTAGCGGTAGCCGATGTTAGTGGTACGATAGTAGCTAAATGAAAACCGATAGTTATTCTCTTTGAAGCCAATGAAACTCTGTTGGATTATTTACGCGGTCTATCGATGTGAAGAGTTGGTGGACTTTTATCGTCATATATTTTGTGTTTATTGGTCATTTGTGAGATGTTGACTTAAACTAGCTTCAAGTTTATTACCTTGCGTTTCTTCTTTACTGTATTTTTTCTCGTAATATCCTGATTTATTGTTCGCCGTATTAATACAGAAATGTCAACTGATGTAAGTTGTATTCTATATACTACTCTGCCATGAAGGTGTAAACATTTTAAGAACCTGCAATTTTGTGTTTTTTCTCCATTTTATTATTATTATTTTATTTTAACATGCTTTTCTCATGTCCGAAGGTGAAAGAAGAATCCAACAGTATCTCTACTGTTGAAAACACAGAGAATCATATTACAGAAACAGAGCCAAAAAATGATCCACCCGAACAGAGTGAACAAATTGTGAATCCTCCTGAGTGCAGTATTGCAGTGGATATTAAGGATGTAAAACCAGAACCTTGTAATGGTGATGGAGTGGAAATAAGGGTTACAGGAGTGGAAAATAAAGTGGATACGATTAAATCAAGTGGAGACGAAACTAAAGAGGAAACAAAACCAGAAACTCGCAATGAAGATATTGCTAGAGAGGGAGTGGAAAATGCAGAAGACATCAAAAGTGAGGATGAAGAAGAAGGAAGTCTGCTTTTGGATGATTTTCTTGATAGCTTAGATGTACTTGATTCTTGGAATCCAGATGAAGATGAACTAGAAGGAATAGGTGATGATCAGACTCAAACATCTCAAAAAGATGGAAAATCAAAAGAAGAAAAATCTGAAAAAAAAGAAAGGGAAAAAAGAAGCAGCAGAAGAGATTCTGACAGACGATCTCGGCCTGGTGGATCCCGAAGACGAAGCAGGTTAGTTCTTGTCTGTTATTGTTTTAAAAGCCGTTAAGTTAATAGTCCTGCGTTTCATTTGTTCCCTTTTCACAGTATTACGCAATTTTGTGTGTTGTGTGAAAGTGTGTTATTTAAAGATATTGATGTTTAGTTTAAGTGTGGTATTTTTTTAATTCGTCATCATTTTGATAATGTTCTCAGATAGCTGGATAGCATAAATACTTTATAGTAGTAAATAAATATGTTCTGATCAAAGGTTACTCTAGAGGTGGTCCTAGTGCTGAAGCTGGAACCAATGAGCTGAATGACCACAGGCAAAATAGTAATGGTCCTCTAAGTACTTTTCCATTCAAAAGTAACAAGTAAAAAATTCCAGTTATGTAAAATTTAGGGAGCTTTATACTTCGATTTATTTAGAGCTGCACTTGGCAGGTCGGCGTCTGTTATGGTGTTATCCGATGTGGAACTTGCACATCACTATGGTGACCTTCAACCTTCCTATTGGAAATAATTATGAGTCGTCATTGCCAACAATATTGTTTATTACCATAGCAGCTTTCAATGGCTTAGCCATCATCATCATCAGTTTTCTAGTGGAAGGAAAAAACATTAAAATGTGAATATATTTTGATTTGACAACAAAATTATAATTAAGATTACTACTAATTTACAATTTTTAGAAAGTATAAATTTAAAATATTAAGACTTGAAAGAAAGAAGGGTGGGGATGTTAAATCATTTAATACTACAAAAAAAGTGAAATGAAATTGAATTTGAACAATGTAAATTTTTGAAACAGAAAACATGAAAATGTAAGTTGAGCGGTTTCTTACCTGCTGAATGGAAGCCACAAAAACAACTCTGCGGGCTCGCGCGAGCGAAGGGGCTTAAGTACCCGGCTGTGTGGTGGAGGAGGTTAATGACCTGGGTGCGGTGTGCTGTCTACTGTGCTGCTCCGGAAGTGTGCAGTGTGGGAGTGGTGTCTAATAATAATTTTAGTAGAAGAGGGGGGTATGGTTTATGTTTTCATTCATTAAGTTATTATTTAAATGAATATGGAGGTTTTCTAAACTTAATCTGATGTGATATTGATTTTCTATTTCTAGTATACGAATATCTGTGTGTGGAATGAATGTATAGCCTGTCTGGAGTAAGTGATTGCAAAGTGAGATTTACAGGGGTTGTGTTTCCAAGCGTGTACATGTTCTTTAATTCTGGTACTGAAATTTAATGGTATTTTTGGTACTTAATTCTGCCTGTTTGAAAACTGATGATGATAGCTAAGCAATCGAAAACTGCTATTGTAATAAATAATATTGTTAGCAATGATGACTCATATAATTATTTCATTGTAAATGCCAACGAAAACTCACCACAATACCAATACTTCCTGTTGAATGACACTGCAACAACTGATTTACGTCAAGTGCAGTTATGTTTAAATTCAAATATAATTGTTGAAGAGATACACAGACTGAAATGATTTTGACCTTCCATTAACACAGTTTTTTCATGGAAAAGTAACAAAGGTATACAATTTTTGAATTGTTGGTTAAACAGTAATAAAATCTGACATTTATACATATAATCCCACTTGAAATGAAATGTAATGTCAGTAATAATGTTTCATTCTTAGAGCAATATTTATGTAAATTGACATTTTTGAGACAAAAAATGAATTTGAATATTTATTTGTATTCAATATTGTTTTCAATTTTTTGATTCAAAAGAAATTACAAAACTTTTATGGATATTGTTGAGTTTTTATTTTATGTATATTATATTTTGGTTGTGGTCACATAGGAATTAATTATTTTTAGTGTCTCAATCTACAAAATGCTTTGTTAAATATTCAGGGGGCTGGGAAAGGCTGCAAAAACAAATGAAAGTGATAACAATGAATATCTTGTGTAACCTTTGCATTGTAGAGAAAGAAAAATATACATTATATGTGTTATTTCATTTATCGTGATATTATGTTATTATTAAAATGTTTGGAAGAATTTATTGCAATGTTCCTGCATTCTTACATAGAAAGTTACATTCTTGCAGCTAATACATCAAACCAGACACATTAGCTTTGAATAAATGCGTGTTCATATTGTGTTGTGAAAGATTTTGTGTGTATCATTATGTAGTTGACGATACTTCTCATCAATGTGTGAGTGGGTAAGCAATTTTCCCCTCTTTCAAGCAATGCTTTAGATTAGTCATTCTAATTGTGTCACTGGCAGAATATTGTCAAAAATAAAATGTATTATTTCTGACTTCATGTATTACAAATATTGAACAAACAACTTCAGTTTTTATGAGGCATGATATAATTGTGGGAGGTCTACGTAAAATTGATGTACACGTGTGTACGCTGTTTTTAAGGAGATTGTTTTTGTATTCTCTTTGAATTTTTTTATACATTGTAAATTTTTATTTCAATCTGTGTGAGATAGAGTTCAAAACGATGAAATGAGTCAGGCTCTGCATTTTGCACATGCTACTTGTGGATGAGATTAGGTCATTATGTAGATACACCTTAGTGACATGTATACTGTGGTTACTCTGTTATAGGTTATTGACACATTATTTGCTTTTCAGTGTTTGCAAAGCATTCTAACATTTAATGATTTTTGAATCAAATTTAAAAGCCGGTTTAAGTGATAATAAGAATAGATTCATGATTATAATGAAAAAAGACCATTATGTAAAACAAGCATATGGGAATCATGATTGACCATCATCTCTCTAAGAAGGTTAAAGGATTGTGGTATTAATTTAGCACATTTCTGTATTAATTTCGAAAAATTCAGATTTTTTCAGTATATTATTTCAATTCCTTAACTTCATATCTTCAATAATACACACACATTAAGGGTTTGATAATAGTATTGTATCCATAAAAAAATAAAGGCAAGAAAAGTTTCAAACTTCATTTTGTCAAAATAAATATCCACCTGTTGTAAAGGGACTACCTCAGCTTTAAGTCTATTAATTATTTCTGATGAATGTTATTGTTTCTCTAAATTGTGTTGCCTTTGAATTGTCTCTAAATTGTTATTTGTGGTGAATGTTATAGTTTCTGTTCCTTTCCTGGTGACATTTTTCTTTTAGTGTTTGGTGTATTCAAATTGTGTGTGATTTTAACATAATTTGTTTTTGTTGAGGAAGCTTTTTACTTTTATCTGTAAAGTTGTAGGTGTACATTAGCATGGTTCTGCATATTCTTTAGGAGACTTAGCTGAATGCTACTGGTATGAAGCAGTGATCCCAACCTTACAGGAGGATGCACAACTGCAACGCTTTGAAGTGACTTATCATTTTTCATTAGGTCGCATGCGGTGAACGTCTGTCTACAAACTTTCTTGTGAATTCAATATGTCTTGTGTTGTTACTGGGCTTACAATCGTCTCTGACAATGAAAATGACAAAGTATTGCATATAGCATTCTGTTGTAAAGAATGCCTAGAAACTGTAAAATATATGCAAATGTTATTAGATGTATTATTTGGTAGCCATTACATTAACCCACATACCAAGTACACGTGTATCCCAATCTCACTTATTTCTTGTTGTACACGTTGTACCAATTGTGAGATATTCAAATTTCGTTACATTGCCTGAAATACTTCATTTGACAATAGCGTATTAAAGAATGTAATAATTTTAAAGTGATTCACATGTACTAACTAAAAACAAGTACCGAGATGACTTAGTACCTTGCTTGGTATTCCACATCACCAATTTTTTATGTCTATGAATCATTTTGAAGATTATACTTCTCAGATTGCCATGCTAATCTTTTGATTCAAATGAAAGTGACGCTATTGAAACACCTACAAGTTTTGAGTTACATATTGCATCAGTCTATCTGTACTAGTGAATGAATGTTCCTAGTTCATATATTTTTGCATTTCAAAGGACAATGTGGAGGCAACTTACAATGGATAAAATGTAAAAAGACAAAATTTAGTTCAACCTGGGGCAAAAACTTACCAAATCTTTAGCTGAAGAGAGACTGAAAAAACTAAAAAAATTGACTGAAAACACAATGTTGACTGCAATGAAATGTTAGCTTGGGGAGGAAGTGGGAAGCTCCGCACTTCCTGAATGTTCATCAGCCTAAGGTGGAAGATGTGCGAGAAACAAAACGAGCAGGACAAGATGTTATAAGTGCTCATATACGTGTAATAAACATTCTGACACTAAAACAAAAGTTTGCATCAATACCCTAAAACGGAAATGATCTTAAATGGTGTATCCTGATGAAGTGTCGTGGTCTACTAAGTGAAATATGGTAAAAAAAGTTTATTAATTCAGTTAAATTTGTCTTTTATTACATATCAACTGGTCAAATTTGGTCGTTGGTGATTCTGGGCGCGTCAACGCACAAGGTCATTTGCTCCGTAAGTGTAGTGCATGCCCCCCTCCTCCGCGGGAGGTGGCGGTGATTTTCCCCCGCTGGGTGGCGAGATCCGACGCCGACCTACCGTCGGCTAACGAGGTTTTTCCAATCCAGGCATCTTCCACCAGTGGAGCTGCGCCCCAGCCGGGACAAGCTCTTTGCTCCTGTCGGGTCTTTCGGCATGTGTGGTAATGTAGAGCATGTTAGTGTGTGTGTGTAAAGATAGGACGAGGAAGAGGATGAAAAGATCGCGCGTGGTCCGTGGCCCGTTTGTTTGGGTACTGCTTGGGGGCTTGCTTGGTGTTGATTGAAGAAACCACGGAAAACTACCCTTCAGAGCATCGGCGGCTAGAATTTTCCTCCAGATAGCGATTGAACTCAACATGTCGAAAATCTTGCCACCGTCGGGAATCGAACCTATATAGGACATCCCTATCGAAACAATGTTGCATGATATTCGTGTGAGGTACACGTGTACCCCGGGCGTTATATTTAGAACTTGGTAAGTGGAGGGTATTGTTTTAGGCTTCCGGCGACTATTATTTGTTATAAGTTGATCTAATGAAATGATTAAAGATACACAAACCAAGAACATTCCTGGTGCGAATATTAAAAGTCTCTAAAAATGAAAGATTGGATGTTTTTTAAGTGTAGGTAAATTAAAAATTCAACGTATTAAATATTAGTTGCTTTCACCTTTTTATCAAGCTTTAGAAAACTTAAAAGATAATAAGTGTTGAAAATTCAAATGAATTCCTGGTATTTGGTTCTGAGATAACTAAGACAGAATGTAAATGTTCACCATAATGGAGGACCGTCACGATTTGTGAGCACTTGAGTGTTGTCTCCTGGTTACACTAGAGCTCACTAGAACGAAGACACAAGGCAGGTCGTGCATTGTTTATTTCGTTTCCCGTTTTCCCTCGCAGAGAGCGCAGCCTGCCTCGCAAGTCGCACGACACGTCCTGTTGCTGCTGGTCCCGATCGTGTCCCGCCCTCCATCTCTCGCATCGCGCGTTTGGCTTGTTGCAGGGAGCGTGATCGCGACCGAGAGCGAGACCGGGACCGAGAGCGGGAGCGAGACCGCGACCGAGAGCGGGATCGCGATCGCGATCGCGACGTGCTGGACCTGCTGGGCCCCAAGGTGTCCTCGCGCCGGCGCTCGCTGCACCGCGAGTGCAGCCTGGAGCGGCCCGCGCGCCCCAAGCACTTCCAGGAGGACCTCAAGGACGTCATCTCGCGCGAGGCCAAGGACAAGGACCACCGCCGCCGCGGCGACCGGCGAGGCGACCGTCGGGACAGGGACAAGGCCAGGGACAGGAAGAACGACAAGGATAAGCCGGCGGTGGGTGCACTTCCAATGAACTTCAGGGGCTCCAGTACCAAGTAGTAAAGTCATAATGAAGTTCCCATTAGATGAGTCCCTCTCTCTCCGTTCCCCCCCTCTCTCCGCCCCTCCCTCTCTCTCTCCGCCCCTCTCTCTCTCCGCCCCTCTCTCTCTCC